AAAAACGAAGACAAATCAGATGAATAAGAAGTAAAAAAATGAAGACAATAAAGAAGAACAATTTGAAAACAAATAACGATAAAAAAGAACTCAAAATATAAGGAAAAAACAAAAAAAAAGGCAAATATAAACCATGAGAGGAGTAAAAAGACAGATAAGACAAAGATCTTTAAAATATGATGAAGAATTTGGAGAGAGAAAGAATAATTGGAAGAAGAGGAATAAGAATTTGTTGAAGGAGAAAAAAATAAAAATAGAAGACAAAGTAGAAGAAGAAGATAGCGAAGAGAAAAAATTGGATGAAAACCTTAAAAGATGAGGAATTGGAGAAAGTAGAATAATATGAAGATGAGGTAAAAGCCGAAAAACACCAGAAGAATAGGAAGTCGGTGATAACGAAGAAGACGATGACAATGAAAAAGGAAAAGAAAAAAAGAAGAAGAAATAGAATAATAAAACATTGAAGAAGAAGAAGAAAGGGAATAAAACATGGAAGAGAAGAAAATCAAAAGATATATGAGAGGAAAAAGGAAAAGATATGGAGAAGAAGAAGACGTGAAAAAAAAAACTAGCAGAATAAAAAGTAAACAAAAAAAAACATAGAAAATAAAGAAGAAAAAAACAAAAAACAAAAAAAAGAAAGAAATAAGAAAATGATAGAGAAAAAAAAATTAAAAGATAAAAAGATAAATAATTTATATTAATCTTATTTTAATTTGTGTTTAATGATTTCATACACTTATTAGTATTGATTTTAAAGTTTTTAATGTTAGACAATGATTACTTTTATAGGTTAGCTTTATTTTAATTTTGTATGTATAAAATTTTTAATCTAATTATTTTTAATTTATGACATAAAATTTTATTTTAGGTTTTAATGAAATTTTTCAGTCCGCGCCTTGTGCGGATTAAACACCTAGTTTGATAAAAAAAGTATGTTTTGATAAATTTCAGTTTATTCACTTCGGATACAATTCAAAGTCGGTTGGGTTTTCGTTTTATTCACTGTAATAAAGTTTGTGCTGTTTGGGTTAAAATAACATTCAATGTGATTCTGAGTCTTGTTCATTTCTAATTATTATTTTTTCAACGTGTCATTAGCTAAATTTAAGTTTGGTAACATGCGTATTATGAATTATAGACGATTAAAAAAAATGTGATTAATCCATTTTTTGTCAATTTTATCATAGGTCAACGTCAACCAAACAAGATCATAAGTCAATGAAAGAGCTAATGGAGTAATGGGTTTGAAAAATTGATCAAAAAGAACCGACAAAATCGTGAATGCTGAATGAGCTGTGTGATGTTCGGTCTCTGTAATAAACTCTCTTCAAGCTTTTTCGAGTTTTTCTCTCGCACATATTATTACACCAAATTTTATATACACTACCAAACGAAAAGAAAATGATAAATATAAATAAAGTCGTAACGCGTTACAAAGTACTTTCCCCTCGTCATTTTGTTTTGGTATCGAGAATATTATGAGTGTTTTTCTTCTACTATGACGTAAGTGGCCAAATATCAAGCTAGAACTAGAACTTCCTAATTAAAACGGCTGTAATATTTTTCAATCAGATTCTTTTTTTTTTTTCAATCAGACTTCGACACGTTTATCTTTGCTATTCTTTTATAGGATGTTCCCTGGAAAACCGAATATTTTGAACTGGTTATGAGTTTAAATTGGTGACAGCCAATAAAATAGTCTAGTTGACTCACGGTTAAACCGTTTTAGTTCGCCATTCATTAATCTTGGTCCAAGTAGATGTAAAAATGGCAATAGTATTGATCTCTTTGGTTCTCATGTGTATATTTGAAATTAAGATATGTTGGACAAGATTTGCTTGGTTTGCTTAGGGTCTGTTCTTTTCTTTCCCGCTGCGTTAGCGTTTGCGTTAGAGTAAAATGGACAAGATTTGCTTGGTTTGCTTAGGGTCTGTTCTTTTCTTTCCTGCTGCGTTAGCGTCTGCGTTAGAGTAAAACAGTTACGACGAGGAGTAAAACGGCAGCAACACGGTTACGAAGAAGATAAAATTGCCGCCGAAGATGATCGCAGGTGTTGATGAAGATGATCGCAACAACTCTCATACGACGCTGGAATTTGAGGCGTCATTTTTAGGTGATGCGGTCACTGTTGCGACACCACCTGCGACATCTCCTTTTTCCAGCAGCAGCTCCGCCATCGTCGTTTTACTTTGTTACGTATTACTTACGGTCATCATCGTTTTAATTTGACGCTGACGCAGACGCTGCGGGAAAGAAAAGAACAGATCCTTAGTGTATATATTTTGTTGTTGGTTTTTTAAAGAAAATAAAACTCCAGTACTAAAATGATATTATGTATTATGTTTTGTTCTTTTGCATTCATTAATTAGATAGGATATCTTGTCAAATTTTT